TTCTATTTGTTTTCCCAACTCTTCAACTTTTCCATCTTATTGTATTTGGCACTATCGCACCTACACCATGCACTGCCAGGAGTGTCCTCCTCCTTAGCCAATTCCTATTGTCTTTCAAATCTCTCTTTAAACACCTTATAGCTGTTCTGTAACCCATGCTTATTAGGCACAGGAGAGTCCTGGTCTGCCAGATGGGTCAGTAGTCAACATGATTTCATGGTACAAGTAGCACATGATCAGTACTCTGCTGACCATGGCTCATTTGCTGGGATCAGATCTACTTTTTTATACATTGTATCTTTCCATAGTCTTCTTACACTGAACTACTGACAACCAATTTACTAGTGCAGAAGGATACTGTCTAGCTCACGGCTGCACTCATTTTCATGCATCTTCTTGAAAACAGAGGATAGAAATGAACACCCTCACTCTACTCACCCATATCTCTATAATCAAGTTTGCCTTCTACATTGGTGTCTTTGAATGAAAGGACAGAAAAAAGCGGGAACTGCAGCAGTTTGTAATACCCTGCAGACAGCATCAGAAGGGATGATCCAATCCTGACACCTGCATGAATGCACTTGAAACCCAGCTGAGCTGTCCCACATACAGGTGTAAATAAATGAAAGGAATACTAGTTTAGTTGTAAGTGCAGAGATAACATTATTCCATAATTGATGTGACCTATGTATGGTGACAGGCTGTTTTGCATCCTCCTAATTGTTTTAGCATTTGATTGCAATACATATGCTCTTTCAATAGCAGATCTTAGGCTGCTCTAAACAAGTTAATTATACTTCACAACACCCTTGTGCATTAGGAAAGTATTTAATATTCCCATTTTGCAGTCAAGGAAAAAGGGAGGAAAAGAAAGGGTATGTGGCTTACTGAAGGTTAAACAGTAAGTCAGTGTCAAAATATGAAAAGGAATTCCAGACTTTCAACCACAGCTTGAATTCCCCACAGACCACTAACTCCTACACTAAATACAAGGATGGTAATAAATGCATGATTTTAGGGTTCCAAACTGCAGAAAGCCATCCTACACAAATGATGTTTTTCTGGAAGGATGATGGAACTTGTATCAAAACTTCAGCATTCAAAAAGGTCAGTGTAGAGATAAACATCTACCTGGAAATTCAAAGGGCTTTGATTATCCATACCACCGAAATGACAGGAAAAAAAAAATGCAGGCAGAAGACTGAACTTCATTTTCTGCCTATAAGCATCACCAAGATAGACATCTTTCCCTTGGAAAGGACATCTCAGCATCACCCTGCAAGACAGCCATGCTTGGGGATAATTTCTGAGCATACTGGAAATGGTCTCATCTACTCTTCTTTTCTACAAAGAAACATCAATTTTAGGCAGATTTTCATAGGGAAAAAATGGATATTGCTGTAACATCCAGATGTCTCAGTCAGGGTGAGGGACTCACTGTGGTTTAGGTACTACAGAAAATACATTTTTCCAAGAGATTGTAAGCCAGTTTAAGCACGGACAACAAGTGGGTGTAACAAACACCAGAAGCAATGAAGGAAGGAGGAGAGATGAGAACAATTGCAAGAATTAATGTCTTCATAGGCTGCTATAAACTCGATCTTATATTCTGAAAAGTATAGCTGGGAAGTTGCACAGGATATGAAACTAAAAATCCGGTCTTTCACTAATTTCAGTTATTATTGCTTTATCTGAATTTCACCAAATGGGAGAAGGAAAAATCAGTGATAGGCTGATCAAATGTTTTCTGATTGTGTATATCCAGACTGATTCCACCAGTAACATAAATGGCAGGCTTGATTTTTAAAACATATATCCTGTACCCCTACTCAAGGTGTCCAACTCTCCCTAAAACATTCTTGAAGTGCCTGCTTGGGTTTTTTTTTTTTTCTTTCTTATGCCATTGACCCACTGTATATGAATAATATGTTTTTAATAAATATATATGAGGTTCAAGGACATATTTTGTATTGGGTGGTTAGTAACAAGTCCCAAAAACTTTTGTCATGGAGTTTGATCCATTTCTTAGTGGGATTATATAGTCTGATTGCTTGACATAGTAGGGAACTTCACTAGAGGAATCTGGACCCTATTTACTTTCAGGTTTATAAAATATTTGGAGGCATTTAGCATTTACATAGAACACATAGATATTCTCTATACCTAAGACAAGTGAAGAGACTACACAAGAGGATAAAAGCACAGTTCTCTCTTCATGCCCTGTTCATTCCAGTTTAATGGCTGAGAAATCAGCCTCCCATCAGCTGCCTGTCAGACACCATCCCTCACATCACTTCTTTTAAACCTGTTCTCTCCAAAGTCTATGATGTATTGATCTTTGCTGTTGTGGACTGAGAATACCAGGTTTATGCTAGACAAAAGCTACCAGCAGACTCTAATCTGTTCATCTATGTAAATATTTATAGTTCTGTGAGCATTATGGAGTTAGAGCATTAATTCATTTCAATTACTATAATTCTGACCAGCGTTCAGACTAGCAATATCATCAGTCCCAGGCCAGCCATATCTCCACAACAAGGGCCCTGGCCTTTAGAAATGTGCATAGTTTCTAGAAAATACTGCCTGGAATAATCAGATCTAGACAGTCTTTGTGATACTATAGCTCTCACTTACACTGTTGGGCGGCTAGCTTGTTTGCTATGAACAGCAGTTGAAATATTTCAAGTACTGTTAGCACAATTCCTACTAGACAAAACTTTGAAAATTGCACATTCTCTGTCTGACAACAAGAACAGAGCACAATCACACAATAGGCACTGAAATGAGCCTCGTATTTGAGTGTGAACATTAGCTGGACATGAGCTGGGCTTTTAATATTTAGGATGCTTTGTATCCTTGCACCACCAGTGTTCTACGTGTTGATCTTTGTATCAGAGAAAAGCTACTTCAGTTCTTAACTCCAAGGACATCTCATATGATGCAAAACATAACATCATTTTTCACAGGTACAGGTACATGCAGGAAACAGACTACATATGGGACTGTAAATCAAACACATTTTAGGCCTCCAAGTGATTTTGTGTGGATCTTTGTTAACATCTATATCTACATAAATACATTTTTGCTTCAAAAATAATGGAACTCTGACTTACTTTGTCTTCTACCCAGATCACTAATTCTTCAGTAGGACTATGTGAGTACAATGATATTGCACTGTTCCTCCATTGTTCAAATGACTGGATCTTAGACAACTTTTCCTTATCAATTTGCATTTTTCCATTCCACCAAATTTTATCTGTTTCCTGAGTCCCTTGGAGAGTTAGAAATTAACATTTCTTGCTTCCTTCCTGGCTATAAATTAGCATCCTTGATGCCTGGCTAATACACTGAGAGGAAATAACTGATAGGATTCTGCAGTCCTTAGCAAGGATTCAGCCTGTCAAAGAGGAAACCTGCTGGGTTTGAGGTCTTTTAACTGTTATGGTACCCGATGGTTTTGGCCACATTAGTAATTTGTGACCAGCCACCTGTTGGATTCATATGCTTTAAAGCTAATAGCCAAGCAAGGGAGCCGCATACCAAATGCTATCTGTACAGCTTCCTGTGTGCATTGTCAGGGGGAGGAAAGGGCTTTTTGTATTAAAAGGCATTTTGCAATTCATAAACTTAAAATTAAGCCACAGCAAACACATTCAGAAAAGTACCTGGGAAAAGCAAGTTTTCACTGCACAGAATTTTGACCCTAGGACGAGGAACATACTACTATTAAAATAATACAATCTCTTTTAGTGCTACTATCCATGTGTTCATTGCGATGCTGAGGGCAGAGGAGGCTGATGTGTTGATTTCAGCCTTCACCTAACTAAAGATGTAGTAAGGTCTAAACCAAAGCTTGTATATACTATTCAAAAAGTACATCGGATCTGTTAAGCAGGAAGATGTCTGTTCTGCTGTATTCCTTCTACACCAGCAGAAACCGTTTCTAACAATTCATTCTGTAGATGTGAGGGCATGCAGGATGACAGACAAACTGATCACTTAAGCCAAACCTGAGGAATAAAGATGAATAATCAAAGCCCATGCTGCCACTTCATACTTGCTGCACGTACTGCTGTACAATGACTGGCTGCCAGCAGTTCTGCTGCAAACCTGAGCATATGGCTTCGAGTTGCTCTGCTCCTGTATCAATGCACAGAAATATGACACACCAGTGTACAAATTACCAGTAGGGTTTTTTTCAGTCACTTCTTCGGTAGGTTGTATATGAACCTCCTTCCCATGCCAGCAGAAGAGAGCATTTCATTATGGTTTATTTTAAAACTCCACTTGGATTGTTTTATTGAAAACCACTGCACTGGCGTAAACCTCCTTCCATCACCACACAAACACACTCCCCAAGACAGACTTCAAACCTAACCTATAGAGTTAATCAAACTATCCGCTTGGGCTGATCAGTTGTTAACAGAACAGAGTAGAGAGTCTAAAGGTCCCTTTGGGCTCCATTATTTAATAGGTGTTTTTATGCCATCTACATTACGGATTATACTGCAGCAGCATTTTGCTCCAGTTGGTTGCCAACAAACATTTGCCATCGAGGAGCCCTGAGCAAGCAGTCACATATGTGTCCACTCGTGTACCACCCATTTAGCAGAGACAATGATCACTAGAAACAACAAAGGAACCACAGATAAAACAAACAATGCTGTGAGCCAGAGATCAGTGCCATCCCAGGCAAGTTTGCCATGAAAATACTTAAGAAAAAAGGGAGGGGAGGCAAGGGAGCTATCAGATATAGAACTATAAAACTTACACCTAGGCGAGGTTTTACCCACGCACCCACCCAACCCCACATCCGAGGAACATTTTCTAACGTGCTGCTAGGATTGAGCAAGAAAGACTGAGCAGCGCACATGGGAGGCAGACAAGCATCCAATGTCTCCTCCCATTTGGAGCCAAATAGTCTCATACGAGTCACTAGACACAAGGAATAATAATAATTGTTATTATTATAGTAATGATAGTAATAGAGAATCACCAACCTTGAGGATCCCAGTTCACCTGTTTTCTTGGAGTCTCGATTGGAAATTTCATCGCTTCCTTTTTTGCACAGGGAGGAAAAAATTAAATAAATTCCCAACCTTCCTGTCTCAATGCTGCAGTCAAACAAATTAATTTCAAATTAAAGGGAGCCTGCGCTGTTTGACTGAGAAGAACTGGTGGTTGCCAAGGAAAGAAATACACAAATAAATCAAAGAAGGTGGGGAGGGGCGGGGAGTGGAGAGGTTTGTACCGGCGAGGTGAGGAGGGGTGCAGCCACCCCAGTAGAGAGACAGGGAGAGAAGGGACGGAGTGAGGACCGGAGGGGGGTAGAGGAGGGAGCGGGGATGGAACGGGCTGATAGTCAGCGGGTGCAGGGTGCTGCTGGCTGCTGGGGTGGCTCCCGCGGCTGGCTCGCCCATCCA